GATACAGATACAGTTATAGATATACATGACATCACAGGGCTCATGGCGTGTGCTCTCTACATATCCAGACTACCCCCCACGTTGCACATGCATGTACGTTGAAAGTACATTGTGCATACAGTGGAGTCAGGGTTGGGGAAGGAAGTCAAAGATGAGGTGGGAAAGCAGGAAGGCCAGATTACAGGAAGTCTCAGAGACAGAATTTAATTCTCAGTGTAAAGGGAGTTCACTGAAGGGCTTCAGTGAAGGTGATGGGTAATGTTACTTATGTTTTATGAAGATGAGAGAATGGGTTAGAGGGAAGTAGCAAACGTACAATCAGGGACGGCAGTTACAAGGCTATTTTAAGACTATGAAGGTGATGATGTAGGCTTGAATGCATACCTGCTCAGTGTGATATGACAGATACTGAATCAACTGTGTTCTTTGGATCGTCTTCATACCATGCACAAATCTTTACCACTGTAAGTAATGCCTTTGTATTAATGATGGATGAGATGAGGGGTGTGAGATACTGACTCTTCATTTCCAGGTACGGTTTATGGAATTCTCATGACGACTTTGTAGGGTAGGCTTTGCTTAGCCCTATTGTACAGATAAGAAGACTGAAGCTCAAAGACATCACTTGAGTTGCCTCAAGTCTTCCAGCTTATAAATGGCAAGACCATAATTGAAACCCAGGACTGTTAGACTTCCAACAATATTTGTTGTTTTTGTTCCTGTCGATTGCCTCTGTCTCCTTTAGGTTTCGTGGCAATAGGGAGATGTGTTTTCTTGGAGGTAACCTAGGTCATCAACACTTATATCACCAAATTAGTTACTAGATTAGCCAGACATTAGAGGGAACATAATGCAGGTCATAAGTGCTGTGATGGATCAGGAGGGAGGAGAGTAGGGCCGTGGAGTGGAGAGAGTTCCTGTGTACTTCAAGCTGAGACACAGGGCACAAGGTGTGTCTGTGAAGTAATAACACACTCCCTGTTTACTCATGAAAGCATTTGTCCCACACCCACAGACAATAGAGTGTTTCAGCTTTCTGTTCCCATAACGCTGGGTGTACTCTCTATTAGAGCTCGTAATAGCCCATACTAGTGTGGCTGTCCATAAATAGTATGTGTTGTATCAATTCACTCAACAGCAGGCTCCTAAGGACCCAGTTTCTTACCCAGAGTCTGGTGCAGTGACAGAGGGGGACAATTGGAAGAGAGTATGGATTCATAATGTATGCACCCAGCACTCATGAAGAATTGCAAATAGAGTGTGAGAAGCTGGGGCAAACTTGGCATCCCCTGGGCAGTAATCCATTGATTCAAAAAATGGAAAAATGGAATAGCACCATTTTGGGTGAGAAAGTGGAGTGTGACCACCAGATTGGACTGGTTAGGAACTCAGGTCCCTCCAGTCATTCCAATCTTATTAATACCCCTACTACCTATCATTGATGTAACACAATGTGTCAGACATGATGGCATCACTTTGTACGTATTGTCACTTTATATGTATTAGCACATTTAACTCTTACTGCAGTCTTCTCTGAAGAATGTTAAGTACCCCATTTTACAGAGGAGGAAATCAAGTCTCAGAGAGAGAGAGTTGCCCAAGGTTACTCAGCTAGCAAGCTATGACTATCATTGTTTAAAATCCATGACCTTATCTACGCATGGACTCATTACAACATAACTGATGACATATTGTCTGTGGCCTCCATTTGCTTTGGATAGGAGTCCAGTTCAGGGGACAGGTGTAGGGGTAGCGATGGGTGGTATGGGAAGGGTCTAAGGGAGGTGGGAATTGATGAAAACCTCTGTAGCTGAAGTATTTCTTTCTAGGGTCTAAGGAGTCCTCAGCAACCTTTTGGTTTGAATCACTTTGTTCCTTAGGGATAAATTGCTAAATTGCATCTTAAAACTAATTACAGTAAAAGTATGATTTCACTTTTACTTTCATTTCATAATTTTGGCTTTACAAAGAATGTTTCTAGATCCTTGGCCAAAATAATATACTTAATTTATCATTGTGTATGCTCAAGCCGAGCATTTTAATTGCTTGATGAATAATGAAAAATTGAGTTTTTATGAGTGCTTGGTTTCAAATAAGACCAATCCCACCCCTTCCATACACCATTCACCACTGTCCCACCCACATAAGATGGTAAATAATGAATCTGTTTCAAGTTATATTAAATAGTCTTGATTTTTTTCTATTGTAAAAGTAATAAGTGTTCGTTGTTTTTAAAAGTTTTTGTAATTAAAAAAATAAAAAAATAAGTTTTTGTAATTAAAAAAAATAGGAAAACTAATGTGAAAATAACATAGAACACCTCCCAAGTAGAGTCTCTATTAACTTATTTTTAAGGACTTACTTTTTTAAAGAGTGGTTTTAGATTCACAGCAAAATTAAGTATGCAGATTTCCCACATACCGCCTGCTTCCACATATACAGATCCTCCCCTGTTGTCAGCATTCCCTGCCAGAATGGTGAATTTACTACAATTGGTGAACCTACCGTCCCCATAATTTTGCCTTTTCTAGAACATCATACCGTTGGAATCATACAGTAGCCTTTTCAGATTGGCACATTTCACTTGGTAATACACATTTAAATTTCTTTCATGTCTTTTCATGGCTTGCTAGCTCATTTCTTTTTAGTGCTGAATAATATTCCACTGTCTCGATATACCAGTTTATTTATACATCCACCTACTGAAGGACATCTTGGTGGCTTCCAAGATTTGGCAATTATGAATAAAGCTGCTATAAACATCCATGTGCAGATTTTTGCATGAACATAAGTTTTCAACTCCTTTGTGTAAATACCAAGCAGTGAGGCTGCTGGGTAGTGTGATGAGAGTATGTTTAGTTTTATAAGAAGCCACCAAATTGTCTTCCAAAGCAGCTGTACCATTTTGCATTCTTACCACAAATGAATGAGAGTTCCTGTCACTTCACATCCTCACCAGCATTTCTTGTTGTCAGTGTTCAGTATCTCATTCTTGTTTTAATTTGCCTTTTCTTAATGACACATGATGTGGAGCATCTTTTCATATACTTACTTGTCATTTCTGTAATTTCTTTGGGGAGGTGAGAATCCCTATTAACATTTTGACATACAATTTTCAGATATGTTTAAACATATCTACAAAGTGAGTTGATTTAAATCACGATCTTTCTCTTGACTTTCTCTTCTTTGCTTTAACAATAGTAATTGAACACTTTTTATATATAAAAACTGAAACGAGAGCTATCACTGACACAGGATAAGTCAGGGACGGTAAGGGTGCCATATATTTGCCTTCCCTATACAAACAGCAAGTTTTCCTTTACCGCATATTCTTTTCTACTGAACCAGAGGAGACCTCACAATATTTTTCAACACAGGTTCTAAGAAGACAGTACTATTCAGTTAATTGTGGAATGATAGACTGTATTTTTCCATCTCTAACCTTGAACCTGAGATGAGGAGGTCAAGTGGCTCCAGATATCGGAAACAAATTGATAATGAAGGTCAATCATGAGAGATTATTACTACCAGGCACCTGACACTGTAGAGCCTGATGTAGGTACTTATGGTATTCTCACCCTGTCCCCTCAAGCAAAATATGACATATCACTAATGAGGGGTTTTACTTCCAGGCTACAAATCAGTTCACTTTGATTCAGTGTGTGATGCTTGCTTATAAATGAATAATCCCCCTTGAGTCTAATTAAGTTGAGCCTAGTCTATATGCTTCCTGTTGAGATGGGACCTTCCCAATGTCAAGAACATTCCTATAACTTGGACAACTAAGATGGGAAGCAGGAAGAGCAATTATGAGGATATTAACTGATCTCTCTCTCTCTCTTTCTCTCTCTCTGCCCAGAGTCAGATGTCGCTGACTTTGATGGCCGAAGCTCCCTTCTGTACAGGTTCAATCAGAAGCTGATGAGCACTCTCAAAGATGTGATCTCTCTGAAATTCAAGAGCATGCAAGGAGATGGGGTCCTGTTCCATGGAGAAGGTCAACGTGGAGACCACATCACTCTGGAGCTCCAGAAGGGGAGGCTCGCCCTACACCTCAACTTGGGTAGGGTCAGGCTTTGCTCCTTTCTATGTAGAGATAGCAGGAACTCCATTTTGTAGTGGGTTCCTTATTGCCCAGGTGTTATCAGGTGAAAATTGCTGGAGCTCAGTGTAAGTGGAGTTTTCCCCTTTCACCTGTCAGAGAAGAAAAAATTACCATTTTGTGAAATAGTTAAGCTGTACATAGCATTCTTTGAAACAAGATAGAATTGGCAAGTATGGAGCTCTACAAGTTCATTGCTATCATGTATCTATGTATCTATCTATCTATCTATCTATCTATCAATCATCTATCTTTTTTAGTAATAGAATTTAATTTGAGCACATTTAACACACATGAACATATATATATATTTTTTAATTTTTTTTCAACGTTTTTTATTTTATTTTTGGGACAGAGAGAGACAGAGCATGAACGGGGAAGGGGCAGAGAGAGAGGGAGATACAGAATCGGAAACAGGCTCCAGGCTCCCAGCCATCAGCCCAGAGCCTGACGCGGGGCTCGAACTCATGGACTGTGAGATCGTGACCTGGCTGAAGTCGGACGCTTAACCGACTGCACCACCCAGGCGCCCCAGAACATATATATTTTTTAAACTGAGTTGAATTCTCAGCAGCTTTTTTTTAAGTTTATTTATTTTTGAGACAGAGAGAGACAGCATGAATAGGGGAGGGGCAGAGAGAGAGGGAGACACAGAATCAGAAGCAGGCTCCAGGCTCTGAGCCATCAGCCCAGATCCCGATGCAGGGCTCGAACTCATGGACCGCGAGATCGTGACCTGAGCTGAAGTCAGACACTTAACCGACTGAGCCACCCAGGCGCCCCCATGAACATATATTTTAATGAAGCTTGCTCATAATCTATTCTGATTGGTATATTTATGACCAATCATAAATTGGTACATTTATGAAAGTTGAATCCCAAGAGAAAAATAGAGAAGACACATTTTAATTTATTTGGTTTCTTTCTTCTCTCTCTCTCTCTCTTTCGTTTGTTCTTTCTTTATCTTTCTGTTTTTCTGTCCTTTTTCTGGTTGAAGGGAGATAGAGGGTTATATGTATAGTGGGAAAGTCTAAGTTTCTAGGCAAACACAGTTTCCTTCAAGTGCCCTGGTTGTGCCAGGATGAACCCTAGACTTGCCAAATACCAGTTAATTTGGTACAGAATGTCCTCCTGCCTTCTGTGCATTGAGGACACTGGCCTCCTCCTGTGGGCTGGCACCCAGCATGGCCTCACCACAGGCAGGCCATCATTGTAATCAACTTCCTATTCCAGGGAACAAAAGAGAAAGGAACAGCCTCCTTTGTGTGCTCAAAGGTACTTCTGAAGGAAGAGTGAAACAAGTGCTGACGGCAGGGGGCAGAATTCCCAGAGGTGCAAAAGCAAACCTAAAAGAAAAAAAAAAAAAAAAAAAAAACGCACACACACACAAAAACCAAACCAAACAAACAAAAAAACCACGAGCCCATGCTGAAGGAACAGCAAGTGCCATTCCTTATGAGAATGATTCCCTGCCTCTCATTCATATTTGTTAGCATTTGGGAAAGGGACGGTTATGGTACTTGTGGAAGATAATTATCACTAAGTATTCGCTATCAGAGTAAAGAAGGACAGTCATAGCAGAATTGAGTTTGTAAGTTCAAGTTGCATGGAAAGCTGGAAAAAAATCTCAAGTATACTTTCACAATTAGGAGGAGAGACATAAGAATAAAGATTAGTGTGGACTCATCCCAAAAGCCAAACTATGTAAGCCTCTATTTTGAGTCATTTCTGAGTATCTTCTTACCCACCATGGTGAATATTGGCAGGGGTAACAGGGAAAACATCTGGAATCCCAAGTTTAATTCATAAAATTGACATCTAGTGCATTAGATTAAATATCCACCAAAAGCATCCTTAGAAGCAGAATTTTACCCAGAAGAAAGCAGCAAGAGGATTTGCTAGTAACCTGATTAATTGTATTAACATACATGCAAAAGCAACTCAACAATGAATTATCTGAAGGGCGGGCATACACATATTCAGCAAAAGATGTATCAGTTTATTAACTGGCCTTCAATTTTGAGGAAGGGACTGTGGATGAATGGAGTGGAGCCCCTCAACTGGCCATGCCTCAGAGAGCACTGTGCGTCGTGAGTGAAGTTACAATTATTTGTCAACGCCAGAGCAGGCGCCTTCTGATGACACTCAGTCTGCCAGTTGCTGCCATTCCCAATTATGTATGCTGTCCCTCTACAATGCTCTGCTCCAGCATGCATAATCCAGTGTTGCAAACCAGTTTCACTCACAGTATTGGATGATGGAAAGGAGTAGGTGTGGTCACTCAACAGAACTGTTTTCATTGCAGACATGTGCCAGCTATTTGTTATGGGGAAAGTCACATAACCCACAAGCCTCTGTTTACCTATGTAGAATCCGGGGCTAAGGAATAACTGTCTTGTAGAGCATGGACACGAAAACCAAAAATATTATAAATTAATATTCCATGTCAGTAAGTGAACCTAATGAAGGATCCCAAAGATAAGCTCTTAATATTGCTCATTTCTTCATCAAACAATATCCAAATGCCCTGTACTCTTCTCCATGCCAACCTTCCTGAAAAGAAATGGTGTATGAAATAAATAGGACCTATTCCTTGCAATGAAAAACAAGGCAAGTCTCTTTTCCCCAGATTCCATGTGCCCTGTTTTTCTAATCAGGATGGTGACAAAGTAAAACCTCATTGAGTGAATGATTCAGTAGTGAGAATATGTTCTTCATCTAGTCTGCATAGTTTGAGAATTTCTTCATCTTAGAAAATGAAATGCTGTGGATTTGAGTGTTCCCTGTACTTCCCTATTTGAAGCAGCCACCTAACTTTCCTATAAATCAGTGCCAATTTGCATGTTTCTTCTCTAGAGAGACACTGCCACGTATCAGTTCCTTAGCCCTTCCTACCTCACAAATAGGCAGCAGATCTCTGGAAGCACTAAGTTAAGGGCACAGGGGATGATAACTGCTTTGATTTGCTCATAACAGACAATCTGTCATGTAGATTGCAAAAGGGCAGGGCAACATTTGTTCATTTCTATAGCTCCAGAACTTAGGAAAACACCTGCCTAAAAATGAATACATTGGAAAAAGGAGGTTCCATCTAAAATAGCAGGGGCTGGCACAATGCATGTTGTTACCGTTGGGCTTGCTCACCCCAAGCCTGTGCACCTGGCTCCCTCATGTGCCACTCTCTCTCCTATGATGGTGCCCTGCTATTTATAAAATCCCCACAATGTGCTAGGATCCTAGCCAATCTTCAAAGCAGCCCTGTTAGGTGAACAAACCAAATTAGCCCAATTACCCATAAGGAATATTAAGATCAAAAAGAATAAATCACTTCAGTTTACACAGTTAGCTATAAGGTATCGCCACTGTTAAAATGTATTATATCCAATCCATTTTTTCACTGTTATGTTCAGATTATAAAATATATGTCAGTTTTAGAAAATCTGAAGAAAAAATAAAATCATTATATTTAAGAGAAAACAGTCACTTGAAATCCTACAATTCAGTCATCTCTGCTATTAATGCTTTAGTATATTTTTCAAATGTTTTTTTCTTAAATATTTATATAAACATTTTACATATTATACAAAATTCATGTTCTTTCTATGTTGCCACACAGCCTCCGGAATAGAAAGAATTCATGTTATGCATGATCATGTGTACCTCTTAATATTTTAAATTTTGTAAAAGAAATGAATCAAGAATAGAAAGAAAGAAGGAAGAGATGGATGTGAGGGGGGAGGGAGGAGGGGGAGAAAGAGAGGCAGAGAGAGAAGGAAGGAGGGAGAAAGAGAAAGAGGCAGAGAGAAGAATGAGTGGAGAAAAAGGGAGGGAGAGGGAGAGAGAAAGAGGAAGAAATAAAGAGGCAGAGAGGAAAGGAGAGAAGAAAGACAGGGAGGGAGAGAGAAGGAGAGAGAGCAAGAGAGACAGGAAGAGGAAGAGGCAGAGAGGGAGGGAGGAGAAGCAGGAGGGTGAGAGAAGGAATGAGGGAGGAAGAATCCAAGAATCCAAGATAGTGGGCTAAAGTATAGTGCTAGGCCAATGAAAGAGGTAGTTGTTTTTTTGTTTCTTTTTCTTGTTTTTTTTTTTTTTTTTTTTTTTTTTTTTTTTTTCATTTGTTTGTTTTTTGTTTGTTTGTTTGTTTTTCCCTGCCCAGCTCTCATGGGCACTCCAGCAGCCTTTCCTTTAGTGACAATTCTCCAGTGTGTGTCCTTATCTAATCTGAGACTTTACAATTCAGCAATTCAGGAAAAGAGTGGAGGGGTTCAGCACCATGGACAGCTGCCAAGGCTCCTGCTTGGGAGTCCTATGGGCTGTGGTTCTTTTCAAGTGATGCTCTTTCCTGGCTGATTCACATTGCCTAGTTACCTCTACTGTGACTGACTTGGACAGGTCAGTTCTATGGTGAAATTGACCTAGGTCAACCCATTTAATTAATTTCTTAGGGTAAAGCAATATTTTTTTTCCCTAAAAGTATTAATGGGAAAGCGATTTCTTCTCGTAAGGAGATCATAGAGACTCCTCTTCTCACTCTGTACATATCTCATTCACATTACCTGTGGCAGTCTGCCCTCTGCAGAATTCCAATGGCACAAACCCACACATACAGGTGGGAGAATCAAAGAGCTGAGACATTACATGACTGGGAAACTGTTGTAAGAACTAAGCAAGACATCAATAGTACATGTTGGTCATTCATCCTTACAAGAGTTCAGTGCCTTTGAATTGAGGCAGAATGTGCAATGTGCAGTAAATACAGCAGTAGTAAAGTGAGAATCCTGGAATAGCATAGACACACGTAAAGCAGTGTCCTTGGGGGAGTAAGCATAGGGTTCAGAGGCCAGAGCACTTGATTGAATATTCAATTTATTGTCATATCTGGAGATGTAGGTGATAGATCTGCATATTCTCCAAAAAGTAAAATGGACGTTTACTATACTTTTTTGAAATCTAGACATTTGAAT